AACGTGTGTGGGGTCCGCTGTTGCCTTCTGTTGGTACGGCGGCAGTTTATCCTTCAGAGCGTTCTTGAGACTCCAAATCGTCCTATCAAAAATCATCGAACTCCAGTCATAGTTGCAGAACGCCTCCCACCGATCCACAACACCTAACAGGGCCGTATCTATGAACTGCTTCCTCTCCTTCCCCATCATGGCAAATTCTATGAAGTAAACTATGCCAACCTTCACAACATCCTCGTCGTCGTAAAAAACGTCCTCCAAAAAAATCTTCTCCAGCTCACTACACTTAACCCTAACACTGTCTTTAAAGTAACGTGCTCTAAGTCTTCGTCCAGGAATATGATTATCTACCCTATTCATCCTATGACTGAGCCCGGTGATTAGGTCGAACTCTCGCTTACCAAAAGACACCCTCTTCCCAAACAAGTCAAAGCTAATGACGTCCTGTCTAGGCTCTTCAACCTCTCTCAACAATAGGTGATGGATCAATGGACCGTTGAAAACAACGTCCATGTCCAAAATAGGACTGAAACATGTTTGCCTAAACATGTCTAACTGGGTTAGGGTTAGCCTGGCCTTAATCCTAGTAGTGGTTTTATCAACATGGGCAAGGTTCGTCAACGTGGCCGGAAACCAGTCATTACGATCTATGATGAGTCTCAAATCCATTCTACGTTCATCACAAAGTTGAAATAAAACATATTAGATACAGACTAAGCTAAGTGACAAGGAACTTAAAAAAAAAAATTAAACAAAACAGCATTCTGCCTTTCATCTCGGACCGAACCGGACCGGGACAAGTCCGAGATGAAAGGCAGAATGAGACAACTCAAATCTGCATCTCATCTCGGACTCATCCCGGACCAAACCGGACCGGGACAAGTCCGAGATGAGAGTCAGATTTGAGTTGTCTTGGGACTAACTTTCATCTTGGACTTGTCCCGGACCGAACCGGACCGGGACAAGTCCAAGATGAAAGTCAGTCCCGGACCTCGAAGGCTTCAATCTTGGATGCGATCAGTATTCAATCCCAGACCACTGAGGTCCGGGATTGAATACGAGATAGAGTCCGAGATTGAAGCCTTCGAGGGATTTTTTTTTCTCTCTTACAATGACAACGTCAAACTAAACCTAAATCTATACGGTCGCTTCAGATAGCGCCGGTCATGCTAATACAATAAAGAATAGCAACTTTCTTACATTGTAAAAGATATAAACTAACCTTGCAGCCTCTGAGATGAATCCGACGCTTACAGATGAGTGCGAAAGAATGATCTTCAGAAAAAATGGATGAGTGCGAAATGATTCTCCGAGACGGGGATTCTCCGAGATGGGGGTTTAGGGTTTTACTTGGGATGGGATGGGAGTGCCACGAAATGTCCGAGACGAAGGATGGGGAGGGAGGGGATGAATTTTTTTAAAACAGGGGTACAATGGTAATTTCATTATGTCATATTTTGAAAGGGGTCATAATTAATAGAATATGAGGTCACAAATTAGGTTTTTTAAAAATGGGGTCATTTATCCAGTTTCAGTTATTGAAGGGGTCACAAATTCAAATTTCCCATTTTGGAAGAGAGGTCATTTAAAGAACAACATTAGTTGTCGTTTTGTTGCCGTCATCGTCACTACCTACCGTCGCCGTCATCGCCCGCCGCCGAAGCCTCCATCTACATTTCAGATCTGGTCGTTCAAGATCTGAAACAAAACTTTTAGATTTAGAATTGTTTCATTTCAGATTTTGTACTCTACTCCTTCCCTCCCTTCTGTGACAAACCGCTGCTATCACTTCTAGATCTGAAACGAAATGGTCTAGAAACATTCAGATCTATGAAGTTTGAACCATCACGTTTCAGATACGAAGGCGATGACCATGGCCGGCAGTAGTCGGTGGCGATTGGCGGTAATCGGTGGTAGCCGGAGAAGAAGAAAGTTGTTGGAGAAGAAGGAAGATGAACAAGAAGAGGAAGAAGGTAAGGAAGAGAGAAACGAACAAAACAAAATAAAAAA